GTGTGTGTGTGTGTGTGTGTGTGTGTTCAATGAGCACTACCTGTTCTTTTGCTAGGAGGCACGGGACATGTGGGGGCAGGAGTTGCATTTCAAGGGTATCTTGTGGTGCTTTGGAGGGGCACGAACTATATTTAATTTATACATCATTTTCTCTCCAGTCCAAGACCCAAGGCCATGTGTAGAACAGACCCATCCCAAAACTTGGCATGTGTATTCATAGACGTTCAGGCCTCAGTTCTCCTTTTATTACCTGCTCTGACATAAAGAGCAAACATGACTATTACACCCACAAGTCCCACTGCCCAAGATTGTGAAGGATATTTTCAAAAGAAATCACCACAAAATTTCCACCAGTGGAAGGGATCTGATGAGTCCTTACACAGGAAGAGAAATGACTAAGATGAGGACAAATCCCTAGGACAGATGCTGAAGGACCTGGGTTGGATTTTGTTACTGTCATTCACACAAACACTTGAGCAAATTTTAATTCATAAACAGATTTTCTTTAATAAAAATAAAATTTTAGGAAACATTAAAATTTGAAGGCATTTATTCCGTACTGTTTTGTGGTAAATCGTAGACCCCATTTATTCTGTACTCAATTGGCCCTTTAAATGCTCCAGTGTAAATCCATACATACCTGAGAACAAGAGGAGATATCTTTAAAATTCTTTTCTAGCACAACTGACTTAGTGTCTGGACTGATAAGGTTAATCTCAAATCGCCCAACCTTAAAAATAAAAGTGTGTCAATTAATTTCAACTCATTAGAACCTGACATCTTATTTATATAATTATATACTCAACTAATAACCTCATTTTACAATAGTCATTACTTAGAATACTCTATAATACCCAATGAATAATTTACCCAACAAATAATTGTAATTAAGTTATATAAAATTTTATTTTAAATGCACTCATTTCCATGTGCTCCAATACTCAATCCAATAAAAAATTTTAACTCCAACTATCAGTTGTCTCAAAATATTTGTTGCCACTGGTAAAAACTCACAAAACTTAAGTTGGGTCTTTTAAATCATAAGATACCAAAAAAAAAAAAAAAAAGAAGCTTTTCTCAAAATAGAAATGATTTCCAAAAAAGTAAGCAAACTCTCCTTGCTTCATGATTTCCAAAAATAATATTTGCATTATAAATATATTTTCTCCCTAATGGTCACTGAAATGATATTCATGTAAATTGGGCTAAATTAAACAGAAATAACTATAACAAACTAAGAAAAAGAATCTGAAGCCCAAAGAAAGAAGAAAACTTCACAATAGAAAACAGCAGACACGCTGTAATTACTTGCCTAGTGTTAACACAAAAAAAACAACAGAAAACATGGGCTTCTAACAAAGCAAATATGCACTGGGACTGTTTACCAAGACATTGTATGCTGTGGAATTTCCTCCTCAGGGGTTCTTTAAAACAGGATAAAAGGGCAGTCATTCGCTTTTTTTCAAGAAAACTCAAACATTGCAAGCTAAAACCCTCTCTAGGATCTGATTATGAACAAAGTTCTTTTAAGTGGAACTTGAAGTTTTGTATACACTGTACATCATTTTAAAAAAATATTTCTAGAACTAAAAATTCTCTTTTATACTCCTAACTATATACCTTGCATCAATTTTTTTTTTTTTTTTTTTTTTGCGGAACCGGGGATTGAACTCAGATCCTTGCGTTTGCCAGTCAAGCACTTATCCTACTGAGCCATCTCCCTGGCCCCTGCATCAAATTATTAAAAAATGATCCAGTAAAAGGCCAGAGCCAGGGAGCTAGCTCAGCAGCATAAGCACCTGCGTGGCAAGCACAAGGTCCTGAGTTCAATCCCCAGTACTGCAACAAACAAATAAAAACAACAAGCATGGTGAAAGGCCAGAGGTGCTCCTTAACCATTCCTCCTGTATGCCACTCTAAATCAGTGTGTTCTCATCTGAAATATATCTATGAAAGTTCCCTGGAATTTTCCTTTTCCTCTAAAAAGTACTTCTTTTCTCCAAGTCAAATCACTCCTAGCTTCACTGAGAGTGGCTTTCTACAGTTCTTTTCTTTTAAACGTATTTATTTAAAAATCAGCTGAAGGTAAATGCCGATGTCAGCTACGGATCGAGCCATCTATTTCTAGCACTCGGGTCAACTTGCTATAACGCTGTCTAACAGCTAATCCTGCTGCTCCCCTGCCTTATCTGCCGTGGAAGGGAAAACGCGTGAAAGCTGGATTTTTGGTGATGATCACGTTTTGGGCTACGCGGTGGCCAGGAGGCGGGCAGGGAGGCCCGCTGCATTGGTCCAGCACCTCTGGGGGCGCAGGCTCCCAGCCCCAGCCGCGCACCTGGAAGAGCATGGTTCTGTTCTTCTCCGAATCCGAGGGCTGCACGTGACTTGGGGCACTGGCGTGTCTGCGGCGCGCCTGAGGCTTCTGGCCGTTCTCGTGAACTTTCCTCTGCAGGACGCCCGTGACGCTGCTGCACCGGGTCCGGAAATCCTGCGGCTGCTCCTCAAAGCCACAGTCTTCCAAGATCCGCTCGGGGACGCACACCCGGGCGCTGGCCAGGACAGGCGGGGCGGGGCGGCTGTCCTCTGCCTGGGCCTCTTCTTCCTCCTCCTCCTCCTCTTCCGGCAGGCTGTCCCCCGGGGACCCCAAAGCCTCGCCCTCCAGGACCAGCTCCTCGCAGGGGTCTGGGACTCGCTCACCCTGGAGACGCAAGCGCTGCTGTTCGTGCAGGTTGAACTTCTCTATGCAGTCATCGATGAGGCTGGAAGGGGCCTTCTTGTGGGTCACTGTCACCTTTCCGCAGTACAAGACTTCGAACTTCTGAGAGTTGTAAAAGGCATCCTCATTGTCCTTGCTGGGTTTGGCATCCTCTTTCATGGCAGCCTTGGATAATTGCCTTATGCTGCTGATTACATCAGGAACCTGGAGAAAATTGAAAATCCTCTTTTAGTGGAACGTTTCAAGATAATGTATGTGTATCAAAACCTGTTATTAGCACACGGAATTTTCATCCTAAATCAATGAATATAGGAAGCAGTAAATCCTACACAAGATAGATTATAAATTTAAATTCCACATTATCACATAAATGACTTCAAGGTAAAACTCCAATGTAACAAAATTAAAATTGAGATTTAATAGAAGTACTGTACTTTCAATTTTTTAATGTATTCGTTTCACAAAAAAATTAAAAAATGACGTTATATGTAGGAGTCTTTTAGGTCCTCGTCTCGGTCCAAGAAGCCAATATTTGCAATCCCAAAATTATGTTATTGGAATCCCACCAAGTTAATTCCAATCTACCACTTTCAGTGCAACCCACGACAAAAGTAATGACAATAAAACATATTTTTAACTATTGGGGAGCCAAGGGTCTCTAAATCCAGACACATAAATGGCTTTCCAGAACAAAGAGGCTGACCAGGCAGCACCCGGGTTTTATTCAGTGGAGGAGTGGCTTGAGGAGAAATGACTGCGAGTTGTGGGAAGCAGGTGATTACTGTGAGCCGAGCTAGGTGGGTGGTCTACATGTAGTTCTGCCATATGCAAAGAAAGTAATCTGCATTACGCTACTGAGATAGTATCTAATCTTTTGGGGATCTGGTGCTCATCCAAAATGGAGACAACAATCTCTCTTCTTTCAAATATAGGTGCTCAGGTGGTCCTCCACAGTTATATAGGTCACTGACACCTTAAAAGTTCTGAGGCGCTTCAGCTGAAAGGAACCCAATCTTCAACAATAGAGGCAAAATTAACTAATAGAAAGGTTAAAATCGGGATACTATCACCAGCATCAGCAACAGGGAAAATAGAGGCCGAAGCCAGGCACAGCTAGGGATCACTGCCTAGATGCTAGAATGGGGTCACCAAACAGATCGCCAGCCAGCAAGGCGGAGAGGTGAAACCTAATGTGAATGACACAACACAGTATAAAGCTGTATGGCAGCTTTTTAAGCTTTAAGCACAGACCTGAGTTGGATAAAAGAAATAAAGACAGGTAGAAAGGAAACGTGGAAGCTCAATCTCATCTGCCTCCAAGTGGTGTTAAATCATTTCAGAAAACTGGCAGAAGGAGGTTTCTCAAACCTAAATTTACTTGGCTATCTAATCCCACTTCAGATTGAGGACACCAACATGAATGTACCTAAAGTAGTTTTCAGGATTTACAGGGATCTCTGATTACCAGTGTTTACAGATCCCCTACAGCAAGACCTAGAGGCCTCAAGTCCTAGTCCAAACCCTGTAAGCACCTAGGTCATAGGAAAGGCACAACTTCAGAGACCACCTCATGATGCGATCCCCCTCCCATCAAGGACAGCTGTCTGAGGAGAAGCCAACTGCCCCCCAGGGCACTTGGAAACCAATACTGAGAAATGACCTGCCCACACCCTAGCTTACTTCAGCTAATCCAAAAAAGGTGGCCTCTTGTTTTTGAGCAGCCTATCTGACCTTTCATCAGTGAGCCTTCCTCCAGTTACTAATGGAGTCTTTCTTCCTATCTTCTCTTACATCCTAACTCTGCGTAATACACCTGTATATGCGTCACACTGACAAATCCTTTATCTGTGATGTGAGTCACACACTGAACTAAGGTCACCATCTACACTTCAGGGAACCTCCTCCGACAGGGTCCAGAGACAGACCTTCCTCGTGACCCAGTCAAAAGACTAGAAGATACTACCACAGAAGAGCTCATATATATATATATATCACAGTAGCTTTGATCACAATGCTGAAACACTGGAAAGAATCCAAATGCCCATTAACAAGTGGACAAGGAAAGAAAATATGACACACATACAATGGGATACCATTTATCTCCTCTCACCTGGTTTACTCCAATAGCCTTTTCACTGGTTTCCCACCCACTTCAACCTACTCTCAACAGCCAAAATGATCCTTCTTAAACTTCTGGCGTATTACTTTAGGGATCAAAAAAATACTACCCTAAAATGTACCACTCTGGCGTGCTACTTTTTTCCAATTTATTTGGTACAGTGTCTCACTACGCAGCTTGGACTCATAATGATCCTCTGATCTCAGCCTCACTGGCGCTGGGATTACAGGCCTGGCATGGCAGAGGTTCTGGGGTCAGAAGAACATGCAGTACCAGGGATCGAACCCAAGTCCTTGCACTTGCCAGGCAGGTGCTTACACTGCTGAGCTATCTCCATAGCCTGTACTAATTATTTTGAGTTAAAGGCACTTGAGCAACAGTAGATACAAGAAGGACATTCTGACCTTCCTTTGCTTCCAAAAAGACAGCTCCCAAGAGAAACACATCGTTCCAGAAGCACAAGGAAGTCATGATTATCACCAAACATGGAAGGCAAGGCCAAGATAAACCTAACAAACCAACCATGTTCAACCGGTCCTACCTTCCTAGCAACTTCCCCAAAGTTATGTGCTTTAGTCCAAATGCTAGGTCTTGTCATGTTTCCCTAGTTTACTACTCTGTCTAGCCTTCCTGTTTCTTGGGACATTTGTTTTTCTTGTGAGTGAGCCTGTGTACACACAAAAATACCAAACAAAAATTGGATACCTTTCCCCTTGATTCTACCTCCAGTCAGTCACTGCTGGAGATCCCAGGAAGGTGTAGGAGAAATTGTACACCACTCCACCTTTACACACAGGCAAACCCTCCAGGAACTCTCTATTTGATGAAGAGTAAAAGACAAGATCTTCAGTGTCCCAGCGGGGCCTTAGCAGACAGAGATGTCATGGGTAGAGATTAGACCTGCACCGTGGCCACACATTTTCCCTGTGACTTTAGTCCGTCAGCCTGGACTTCCATCTTTCCATCCTCGCCTGGGTTCCTCTGGCCTACACCTCCTTTTACATCCCTTTCCTGCCTACTCCACTGCAGCCACTATGGCCTCCTTGCTAGTCCTTTATTGTGTGTTTAGCCCTACACATCCACCATGCTTCTTCCTTCACCTCATGCAAAGCCAGGTCATCCCCTAAGGCAGTACCCCAGGTGTCCCCTACGCCCCAAAGTCTTGCATATACATATAGCCACCATTCCTTTGGATTTTTTTCCTGTGGTTTTGCTTCCCATATGGTTTAACGCCTTTAACATTCTGTATAGCTTATTTGTTATGTGAAGCAAAATATACCTGCCAGGCACGCTGGTATGCCTGGAACCCCAGTCATTAGGGAAGCTCAGGCAAAGGCATCATCAACTTGAATCACACCTTAGCAATTTAGGTAGACTGATTCAAAGTAAAAGTTCAGAAGTGCAGATCAAGTAGATCACTGGTAGAGTGCCCCTGGGTTCAAGCCTCAGTACTGAAAAAATAAAATACAAGTGTTCCTTCACTAACCATGGGGGTTACACTACAGACACCAGTAAATGAAAATCAGCAAAGTAGCTACACTATATTTCAGTATTTATATGTATTTTCTTTATAAACCCTTCCCACACTCTTATAAACCTTTCTGATGCTTTTAAAAATACCTCTTAATATTCTTAGCCTTTTTCTAGACTTGTAAGTCTACGTAATTTTAACTTACATATATTGTATGATACTGCAAAATCCCATGATATAGCAAAAAATCAGTGATAAATTTAGATTAGTATTTTTTGAAAACTTATGAAACAGCAATGGAGTACTATATGTTAAGTGGATGATGACTTCTGTACCTTTTTTCTTCTATTACTTTTACCTACTGCATTCCCAGAACCAAGAATCATCCCCAGTAAATAATAGGTTTTCAGTATTTGTATCAACCCCAAAAAACTTTAATTTTTAATCTCTGGCAAAAAAAAAAAAAAAGGAAGACCACCCTATATTCAGGGCTGCTTCATATTCAGACATATATAGTAGGTCTTTGAATCTCCTAATACCAATTTTAAAAATTGGACTCAAAGTGATCTAAGTTTACAGCCTCCCAAGAGCTGGGATTATAGGTACACGCCACCACGCTCGGTCTCAATTCCCATCTCAGCATGCCCTGGAAGTGGGGCCAGAACAGCAGGCCAGGCAATCGGACCCCGGCCCCTGTACCTGCTTGCCAGCGCTTTAATCTGCTGAGCTATTTGGCTAGCCCTTCCTTCTCACTTAATTACTTAAGATACACTATGAAAGCCTTAACCGCTTTTAAAAATCACGTGTTTCAGGTGGCCAGACTATATCCTATGAAAGGATAAAGTCCTCATACTAGTTTCAATGAGCCACCTGAAGATCTGATACATCTCAGGGACAGTCAGGTGTCCGTGCCAACATGTGACTAGCAATTTCAGCCCTGTGTCGTTTTCTTCTTGCTTCAGTGTGTGACTCACCCCACCTGATAAGACCAAAGCCACGCAGAATAGATTTAGCTGACAATGAATCCTATAAAGATTAGAACAATTCTAGTTGGCTAAGCAAAACCCTCAGAGAATGATCTATTCCTACTCAAATTCCCTTAAACCTCCAAAAGGATCTCTATACAGTAAAGAATCTTAAATATTATCTGTAGGACTTTAACTTCTATCTTTAACTCACTACACTATTTCATTTTAATAATTTGAGTATAGTCTTAAAAGAGACTGTCTATAAGACAAACTGCAAATAAAGACAGTTCAACCTCATTTGTATCAAATTTTCTCAACTGCCTTTTTCCTCTCTCCTGTTAGAGACCTCTTAAGTGAAAACGTGCTTAGTGGCTGAATTTCATTCAAGACTCCTACCCGTGGGACAACCCGCGCGGGTCCCCCTTTGATTCCTCTCTCGGACAAACGCTTTCTTCTCCCCAATAAATATATTCTGCTCTTAACTTCCATTTGTTTCTAAAATTCATTCTTAAGTTTTAGAGGACACAAACTTATCCCAGGCATCTTTCAGGTTGGGATTTTCCTTCCCTCATATCAAGACCAGCAGGAGCAACAGGCTGCCCTCTACACCCCGGAAAGGCCACGTTCCGAACTGACTGGGTCACTA